GCTTTTAATTTCAAGTCAGTAATTGTATTTCTATTCCAGGTCTCATCTAGGTGAGTTCTGATTTATTTTTACATAATTTTACAATTATTAATATAATTCTTCTTTTCTTTTTAGATTCATAGCATCGCATCCAATACAATGTAGGTACGTCCATTTTTGTTCTTTAACTAATCTTCTATTTTACCTCCAAAGCTTTAAAAGAGGGTTTCCGTTACGGAGAAATAGGGGGTTATTCATTTATAAAATCTTATCATGTCTTCCGGATTGACCGTAAACACCGGCTAGAAACGTTGTCAGATAGTTCAAAGTCGCGCGCGAACGCGCGTGAATACAATAGAAACGAGAGTGTAAAGCAATTGAATCACATTTATTGAAAGACAAAGAAAAAAATAGCATTCGCATAGTATTTTAAGCATTTGACGCAATGTTAAATTTTTGCACTCGATGATTATAGCGATCGACGACATAGAGATTGCCGTGTCGATCGAATGATAAACCAAAGGGCCAATTGAGTTGATTCGATTCTTTCCCTTGGCCATTTCCACCAATAATGACACTTCCTTGTGTGACTCCTTTGGGCCAACGCATGATTCGATCATTTCCTGCATCAGCCACATAGACAATGCCTAATTGATCGACAACGAATCCTCGAGGATATGACAATTGTGTATGACCATTTCCTCGTCCTTGGCCGCCAGCCATAACAATGCCTTGTGTTGCATCTTTCGACCATTTCATCACACGATGATTGTTCCAATCAGATACGTACACTGAATGATCTCGATCGACGAATACGTATGTTGGCTCATCGAGTTGATCGAGACGATTTCCACTTCCATTGCCACCTGCAACTACTGTTCCTTCCGATTCTCCTCTTTGATATCGTCTCACTTCATGTTTTTCTTTGTCAACGACATAGAGAGATCCATTCTCGTCCATTGTCAAAGCCACACAAGTGATGTTGGAGATGATTATTTCTCCATTTGTTCCATTTCAACGAGGCCATCGAACCACTCTGTTATTCCAACCATCGCATATGATGAGACTATCTGTCTCTTTGTCAACAATCACATCATATGGGTAAGACAATTGATGATCTCTACTTCCTTGTCCATTTCCACCAGCAACTACTTGGCCATTCGTTACATCTCTTTTCCATTCCATAATACGATGATTGTTGGGATCAGCAACATAGATTGTTTGTTCATCATCCACAAACAAACCCCATGGATTATTGAGTTGATCGGTTCCATAGCCATTTTCCTTTCTTCCAGCTACTGTAATACCATTTTGTTTCCAGCAAGCATTTGGATGAATGTCAACGGCACTTCCACGTAATGGATGAACTGAAATAGACGGAGAAACGAGAGAACCATTTGATAACGTAAGAGAGAAAGGAAAAAGTGAAAAGTCCATTTAAATTATTATAAAATCAATATCGTTCCAAGTTCTGATTCATTGTCAAATTTCTCTTCCTAATGGGTGTTTTCTTTGTCTATTTTTTGAAGAAGGTGACCCTATCAAAAAGTTATTTACTTCGCTTCTCGTTTTGACTTTCTTTATTACTAAACTCGTCATCAAATAACTATTAATACCGGGTGTACCAAAAGTTTGGCGACATTAGGTATTTTTCAAATATTTCAGTAGAGATCAATCATGTAATCTTGATTCTTTTTTTTACAATATGCGCCATGAAAAACTCTACAAAACTGTAAGAACAAATTTCTATTGAGTATTTCTGATGGTGTCTTTTATACTCAAAATGAATACGTCCCATAATGGTTCAATATTCCAGAGAATGAAGTATTTGAATGACTATTTTTGTTTCGTAATTAGAACTTGCTCATACAGATTTTATATAGAGTGTGCGTATGGAATAGAAAACATTGAAATTTCACATCCTTTTATCGACTAATAGATAGAACGAGAAAGAACCTCGAAGAATATGAGTACTTCAAAAAAAAAATTAAAAAGAAAAATCTTCATTATATTCATGTAGATTTTAATAAAACTTTTCCTTTAAAGATATATTATCAGATATTAGCAAGTCTATTAAAAATATTCAATTATTTATTATACTGCTTTCCTTTTTAAT